CAGGCCTTGAGGAGGAAAACAGCCGAGCGGTGAAACAGCTGGGTGGGATTAGGGCAGAGGAGCTGGAGGTGAAGGTCTCGGCTGGGGATCAGTCCCGTGCCAAGCAAGAACCGCTGCACGGAGGGGGAGAAATGTAAGCGCTTCATGCCCACGAAGAGGGGGTCAAAGCTGCCTCTTCCCGTCAGCAGCGGCACTGATGGGGCTAGTGTTAGGGCAAAGGCTGGACTCGACGATCCCAGACGTCTCTTCCAACCAAACTGATTCTGTAGTTTCCTCCCCAGGCACCCTGGGACTGAACTCTCGGGTGCCTACGATGCACCACCAGCTCTCCTTTCCTCGTCCTCCAGCACGCTGCAGTGGGGTCTCTCTCCTCTACTCAGCTGCTGATTTTCCACAAATCCTCAGAAATAATAACCTTTACCCTCCTGCTACGCAGGGGCAAAGTCAACGCTGAGCAGTAACGGAGCTGCGGGCAGACCCGATCCAAGCTCCTGCGGCCGCTCAGCACACACCAGGATTGTAAGGCACAGGCAAGAAAGCTAAGAGGAGCTTAAACCCCCCCGGGTGCCCCAATCAACGAGGCCGGGGCAATATTCGGAGAGGAACTCCAGGCAACCCTGCAGCACTACCACCCCCGGCAGCCACCGCACGGCGGCAGGTGCTCGGGGACTGTTAATGATGCTGGAAAAGCTGCCGGAGAAGTTGGACACCGTCATCCTACTTCAGAAAATAAACAGATAAATGTCACTCACTGTCCAAGTGCTATCAGCACAGACGCTGTTGTCAATAAATCAGAAGTATCTAGGAACAGCTTGAACAACTTTTATTTTTTCTTAAAGTGCTTAAAACGTAAATAACAAGCTCCTTATAAACATTAGTTGCAACTATTAAAACATGAAACACACAGAACCCACTTCCTGCATACATGAAGTACAAGGAAATCAACAACTCCAAAAACCCCCTGACGCTTCTCTCTCCCATTTGGGGATGTTTTTCCACCCCACGTTTATAACAGAAAACACACGGCGGTTTCTTCACAGACAAGTCATAAGGCTGAGTCTACACGACACTTCAGTATCCACATCCCTTCAGGTTTGTTCCAGTTTAAGGATATACCTTGGTGGTTCTTCTGGCCCATGACTCTGGGCCAGAAGGGCCAGCCAAGGCAAAAATAAATCACTTGGCCAGAGTTCTTTAAAAGCAAGAAACCCAGCTGTAGGCTGACAACAAAAGCCAAGCACAGCTGTGAGCGACAGCACCCTGCGGAAGACTTTGTGAAACAGCTCGAGAGTGGAAAGAGAAAGACAGACCAGGAGGCAAAAATACAGAGTAACACTGTTTAAAACGGAACCGGTGAAAAGCTGCTGCTGACCCATCAAAACCCTTTCGTCTCCTCGGTTCACCAAAGAGCGACAGAACTCGC